TCTATTGTAATACTATAAATAACGGAAGTTGTTTTTTTTTAACACTGCATAATAAATTGTTACTTAACAGTCCAGTAAATAAAATTTATAAAACCAAAGTCATTGTAACTGGTAAAAATTATGGTCCAGTAAGTTAAATAAACAAAAGTTGAATGATATAAACATTGTGAAGTATAGGTAGTGATTCATTCACTGTATATTTTTATGGGAGATGATCCATTTTGGAAGTGGTCGGTTAATCTGAAATAACGCTCACTCACATACTGTATGCTATATTTCTCTTGTATTACCACAAATTACTGTCTAGGAAATGAATAGAGTGTAGTTCTGTTATTTATTTTTTATAATGATAATGTTGATGTAGTGCTCTGTGTAAAATCGTTAACATAGAAATTGTGTTTTTTTCCCCCCAATATATTGATGTACATTGTATATGTACACTAAACTAGTGCATAACTATTATTTAGTAATTCTATTGATTTTTAAAATGATAAAATTTGTGATTTTATTGTTCAAACATGATTGTAAAAAGCTGTTTGTGCAGGTTTAGGGTGCTGACAAGAATTTTCAAAATAGATTTGAGCCGCGTCATGACAAAACCCAACATAATGGGTTTGCGACCAGCATGGATCCAGACCAGCCTGAGCATTCGCGCAGTCTGATCAGGATCCATGCTGTTTGCTTACAAACCCTATAACAAGTAGGGAAACTGATAGCGAACAGCATGGATCCTGATGAGACAGCGGGGATGTGCAGGCTGGTCTGGATCCATGCTGGTCGCAAACCCATTATGTTGGTTTTGTCATGATGCGGCTCATTTTAAGTACTACATGGGACTACAAGCAGTCCCAAAGCATGTCAAAAATATATTTAAAATAACAGTGTAACATTTTGTTATCTGTTTACATGTAAAATATTTTTGTGTGTTAAATATAACAGAGACTTTCTATGGTAGAATCAACTGTATGATTACGGAAACAGCATCAGATTTTACAATTTATAAGTATTATAAAAATATGTTTTATGAGATACAGCCTTGCATTTAAAAAAGGAGGTTTTATAAATTAAAATAACATGAAAGTTCATGTTTGCTCACACATGATGCATGTTGATTATAACTCAGAAACATGGATTTTATCATTCGATTTTTCCAATATTCAGCATTATTTTATTATTTATAGTCATTTCAGGACCTCATTAATTATTTATAGAATAAAAAACATATTCAAATTACACCAAGTTCTTTGTCCTTTGTCTAAGGTCTCTTTGTTTTAAGGGATAGGTTTTTCTTAAAAATTGTAAAAAAGAAAAAAGGTAGACAGATATGCCTGGTTGGCTTCAAATAATAAATGCTTGTAGATAGTAATTAAGTCATAATATAAAACTCCAGAGTTGTGAAGACTTTATTTGTTCATCTTACATTTATTTTTCTTTTTAAATACATTTCCAAAATTTTTATGAAAATCAAGAAGAATCTGGAGGCATGCTGCTTTAATTTAGTATGTAGTAGTTTTCAATGTACTCAGACAGTATGAATGTATGTGAAGATGTGGGTCTATACTAGTGGTATAGACAAACCAACAATGTATTTCATTTTCACAGTTGATGATCAATAGAGTAACGCAAAAAACCTGTTTTAAAAGATCAACTCTTGATAAAGGCCGTCTGGCTAGTATTCCCTGTCTTTGTAAATACAAATTATAAGTTGCAAACACTAATTTTGATAATTTTAATAGCATTGTGTCCTCTTTCCTAATTGGCAACCAACTTGTTCTAGTAATTATAAAAAAGCATTGTAGAATGTATAAACTATTCATAGAAATGAGCCGCGCCATGACAAAACCAACATAATGGGTTTGCGACCAGCATGGATCAAGACCAGCCTGCGCATCCGCGCAGTCTGATCAGAATCCATGCTGTTCGCTTACAAACCCTATAACAAGTAGAGAAACTGATAGCGAACAGCATGGATCCTGATCAGACTGCGCAGATGCGCAGGCTAGTCTGGATCCATGCTGATCGCAAACCCATTATGTTGGTTTTGTCGTGGCGCGGCTCAAATTTGTTTTATTATGAAAGCAAATTTGTAAATTGTTTTGATAGTAAATGTTATAAATAATTCTCAGATTTGAGTAGAACATGTTAATTACATCAAGAGATTGTTTGAAATGTAGGTTTCATATTCAACTCATGTTAAAGAATATAATAACTGATTACGAGAGCCAATTTTCTCACATAGTTCGTGATTATGCCTTCTTTATGGCAGTTTTATTACCCTGTTCTAATTGAGCAAGTCAGGGAGTTAATATCTAGTATAATATCTAAAGAAATACACAACAGACCCTATGATGTAACAAACTTATATATAAGAAAAATAGTTGCAGTTAATGGCTTGACTTTGTAATAATATTATAATTATACCGGTATTCTCGAAACACTTGCCCCTCACCGCTGTTGGTTCGAATCCCGACCAGGACGAATGTCGGTGGTTCTACTCAGGTGCTCGTTTGTGCCTGAAATAATGCACGGAAGGGCACCTGAGGTCTTCCTCCACCAGTAAAGCTGGAATGTCGCGATATGACCTATACTGTGTCGCTGTGACGTAAAACCCAAAACAAACAAACAAAATATTCTCGAAATATACATGACATTTGTGTACATACTGTCGGCAAAAAAAATTAAATACTTGTATAGTTTCATTAATATATGCTCATTTAAGCTCAAGGGTGATATACAAGGTAATGACAAAACAAAAGAAAGAAAGAAACAAGTTTTTTGGTAGTATTTTACTGTTTTATTTAGCTTAAGTTAGCCAGGATAGAGGGAATGTTAAGTATGAAAGCTAACGAGGAATATAAAACAGATCTCTCTGAAAATATGTTAAATGCACATGTGTGTGCAATAGAAATGCATGGTGCATCGTAGTGCTTGTGTTGTAATTAATTAATGAATGACTGCAAGCACAGACTGAATAATTGACATATTCTTATATGTCTTTTTATATATTTATATAATGTTTTATATATATATATGAAAGAATGTTCATGGAATGGGATAGTTATGAACACTTGCTGGGAGAGTGATCTAATCGGGGATTTTTTTAAGGGCTTATTTTATAGCCGTTATTCCCAATTGAAAATAATATATTATTTTCCCAATACACAGGAATAAATTCCCAATTGAAAGTTACAAAATAAAAATATTGAATTACAAAGTATGAAATCTTTGAAAATAAGAGCTTCTTCAATGCTATGGTGCTTTAATGTTTGAAGATGCTATCCTAGAATAAATGAATCCTGAATAAATTTGGCCCTGTTGAGGATGTTGTATTTTGTCATGTATAAATCAATGAAGAAAAAAACAAAAACAAAATGGTATTTTAAATTGTTTCATAACACCAGATGTCATTTTGTTCATCTTAATTTTCAACACATTTTTTTTCCTGAGAGATTTTTTTTTGCTGCAAATTCAGTTATTTAATAGCTTTACCATTCTTAAAGTTATCTGTGTGACCACTTTACAAGATAGAATATTTTTCTTCCTTGAGTGATGTATTTTTGTTTCTGCTAAAAATGTTTTGTTTTCTCTGGTAAATTCTTCACCTCTGGTTTGACATTGTCAGTGACAGATGATTTATACACAGTTGAATTAATTTCTGCATTTTGAAATCTGGGGATGTTATAGATTGAACTCTGGTTCTTCAATTTATTTGTAGAGTCTCAGTGTTGTTGTTTAGTAGATGTAATATAAGGTATCAGTATCTGAATGTTGTTGTAGAGTTCTTAACTCTTGAGATTTAAAGATATAAGGGACACAGATATGTTGATCATTTGCAGGTATTAAAAAATCTTGTGATGAACTATTAACCATCTACTTTGTATGTTCAAAGCTCATACCTATTTAGTATGAACACCAAACACTGATACAGTCAACTATCGTTATCTCGACATCGCTTTTCTCGATATTTCGTTGTCTCGATGAAATTTTGAAAGTCCCGATTTTCTTCCTTCTTTATCTATATTGGAAATATTTGTTTATCTCGATATTTCTATTTCGATATTTTCAGTATCTCGATGTAAAATTTCAGCCCCAACAGTTATTTTCACACTATTATCCTTTGTTTATCTCGACTTATAGTTTTCTTTCGTCTGTTCCCTTCAGACGTGTGAAAAACACAATCTAGACGATAATTGCTCAATTAATAGCGCTGGTCATAATGACAATTATGTTTGTAGCAAGTTTAGCTGTTTTTATAAAAGTTAATCTATTTAGCGAGTTGATTGACTTATGTCCAAAATGACTGAATTTTACATTCTTTTTAAATATTCAAACACTGTATCAATTCATTATGACTTTAAATGTAAATGAAATAGTGAAAGTATAGAAACGCTATCGTTGCAATATTGTTTCACAACATCACCACCAAATCAATCAGCGGTAGAACAATCTCGAGAAAGACCCGATAAATAACCCAGGAGGATATCCGAATCAACCATATCCGATATCCGATTCACTATATTGGTGTATTACTGAGTAACCTCACTATGTGTTTTTTATCACAGACACCCGTATTTCCGCTGGTAAACATCCGCTAATGTTACTTTGTTAAATATTGACTAGGCCTATGAAAACAAGACATAGGGATATTATAGTTTATTTGACATAAAGTATGCACATGTCTTTTTTAAAAATCAGTTTCGCTTTGTTCTAACCTTAATATGTTTATCTCGACATTTCGTTATCTCGATATTTTTTGGACGGTCCCAATGACTTCGAGATAACGAGAGTCGACTGTATTTGAATATAATTATTAGTGTTAAGCTCTTTTTTTTCTAATAAATGAATTGTTAAAGAGTAAAAAGGCATTCAAAACATGTGTAATGGTAAACCTGTATTAAGGGAAATTCTTGCTTGCATTATGTTTTAGTAATATAATAATAATAATAATATCTTTGAACTACATGTATGCTGTCATAATCAGATGTCAGTTATTTGTTGTTTATCAAAAATATGATTGTATACAGTTGTATAATATATATATTTTTAGGTGATATAACACAGAAAGGATATGATAAGAAAAAACAGAAGTTACTGGCACCCTACAAACAGGCATCAAAACCCCCAGGTAAGGCACTCTTGTTGATTTATATCTGACATAAGTATTATACATTTTGTACAAGGACTGTTCTGTTCAATAAGCAGAAGTGAGCAAGTTTTCATGATGGTTATTTTGGTCTATTATAATTTACCAATCATGTTTGTATAATGTAACATTATCTGAATAACTGTTACAGATGTTATTGTTTTTGCTTGCCTAGTTAGGTTGGTTTAGCTCTTATCTGAATGTCTTAAAAGGACTTGTTCACCTTGTATTTTGTTTTGGGGGAATCAATATCAGGTTAAGAATTTTAAAGATTGGCAGGGCGTCCGTGCCCGAGTGGTTAAAATTGTTGAGTTCAAACCAGTGAAACCACACCACAGTGGTTTGGAATTGAGACATGGACTTTGGATTCTTTCATGTGAGGAAGCTATATAGCTACATGTAGCTTACAGAATGTCAGCAGTTCTTCTCAGGTGTCCCGATTGTACCGAATATTGATGCAGTCAACTGTTACAAATCAGAGTGGCATTTTATACCCATGATTAATAATTATTGATAATTACTTTACTGTTGTGAGTTCAAATCCCGTCATGGACTTTGGATTACATATGATGACGAGGCTACCTAATTAGCTAACCAAAGATTGGTGGTTTGACTCTAGGGCCATTTTAACAATGGAAATGATGCACAAAGGGACACTTGTGATTTTTTCTAACACCCAGGAAAGTTTGAAAAGTCGCGGTAAGACTGTTACATTGTCTGTTTAACTTATTAAATACAACAAAAAGCAACATATTTCCCTAGTGCCATGTAACAGCTAGAGGCTTCCATGTAACCTCAACTTTAATTTGTCAAGTATTTGTTATATTTAACGAAATCATTAATATCAGAAAATGTCACATTAAGACACTCAGGGTGAAAAGTTATGTTTTAGTGTGCATCATGAAATCTGTTACTTTGAAAAGTCTGGAGATTCTGTGAAAAATTTGGCAGCTTCGTCTTGTATCAACCAATAAAAACAAACACAATCTTTCCGACAGTTGAAAATTTGAGTCAGATCCAGATATTTTTGAATGGCATAACTTTGCAAAATCATCTCTGTATTTAATGAACACAGAGAAACAAAAAAAAAAAACAAATTGGAATTTCAGCTGACTTAACATGTTTTCTTGTATAAAAATATTAAAATAAAGAAATAAACAAAACAAAAATCCCCGAACAAAGCTGATTTTAAAGTTAATTAAAGCACCGTTTTATTTGAAGACACTATTTTGATTTTGAATGAAATTTAGTTGTTTTTTGCTATTTTGGTATAATTCATGCATGTTGAACATTTTGATTTTGATAAAAACTGACGTATCTTAAATCGGATAAGATGATTTTATACCTAGTTGAACATCTATTAAGAAGTATTTGAATGGTGCAAAGTTTACCAAATTGATATACCTTGATGGGGTTTAAAGGAACTCCACTGAGATTTATAAACCTAACAACATAAAATTTTGATTTTTCGCATAGATCAACATGAGCACATAAAACAGAAATATAAATAAAATATAACTAAGAAATATACAGTAAATACATTGAAAATCGTATGTATGTGCTATTCTCTGTACAATTTGAGTGAAAAGCGTTTAAACGCTTTTCAATTTTGGGTACTTTTTCACTATTGTAATAAGTATTATGGAAAAACAGAGCGAGTTAATGCTCTGAAATTTTGCACATAAGTTACTAGTATAGATCAACATCAAATAGAGTAATAATCTAAAAAAAATATTTCCAGTCCCGTCATGTCAAAAAACCTCTGTGGAGTCCCTTTACTGCAAGGTGTGGTGATGATACAGGATAATAAGTATAACTTAAAGCAGGATACAATTTGTTTCAATTTTACGGTCAAATTATTTCTATAAATGCCTAGTTTTTGTACAGTTTAGTTTGTTCGGGTTTTATTAACTTTTTTTCAACGTTCAGCCAAGATAATTATCGGCTACAGGTCAAACTACGAGTTATTTTGGCCAAACACGGTCATCTTAAGTATTGAAATGACATTTTTTAAGTCTGTATACATTAACGTGGGGTGAGAACAACACTGTTTACCCATTAGTGTTAAAAGTAATAATCATGTTTGAACAGTTTTTTTCCGATGTTTTTTTGTATATTACAATATAATTTTACATTATGAGGTTGGGCGTTTTTGGTATATTTTGAAGTTTTTGTTTAGATATTTGTTTAAACTTAGTGTCCAGCAACCATAGACTTAGCTAAAAAAAACTTCTAAGAATATTAATGTTTTTTTTTTTAAAAAAAATGGTTGTCTGCTGCATACCTAAATTAAGGGAGAGCATTGGATTAGCAATCTAGAGGGTCACTGGTTTGATTCTTGGGTGAGGCGTAACTTCTCCATTACAATTAAACTTGACCACTGATATAGCTGGAAAGTCATCATTAGGACGTTTGCAGTGACTTAAAATCGAACACATTATACAATAACAATTATATTTCTTTTAATTTTGGAAATATTCATATGTTTGTTATATTTGTTACATTATCAAAGAACTAAATCTGGCTAGACTCTCACTTAACTTTTAACCTGGTAGGCTGTATCATGAGTCAAGGGGTTATACACACTTATTAATTGTTAAGTTGCATCCTTTATTATATTAATATACTGAAGAAAATATTTTTCAGATAGAAATCTGATATTGTTAATTGAGGAAATTAATAGTCTGAAATGTTATTATTTTTGGCTGGAATTAGTAAGTTAAGCATGAAGAAATTTTATTTTTAGAAATTGGCAAATTCATAGTATATAATTATGAGCCGCTCCACGACAAAACCAACATAGTGGGTTTTAGGCCAGCATGGATCCAGACCAGCCTGCGCATCAGCACAGTCTGATCAGGATCTATGCTGTTACCTATAAGTTTCTCTACTTGAAATAAAGTTGGAAAGCGAACAGAAGAATTCTGATCAGACTGTGCGGATGTTGACAAAACCAACATAATGCGTTTGCGACCAGCATGGATCCAGAACAGCCTGCGCATTTGCGCAGTCTGATCAGGATCCATGCTGTTTGCATACATACCCTATTACAAGTAGAGAAACTGATACTGTGAACATCATGGATCCTGATCAGACTGTGCGGATGTGCAGGCTGGTCTGGATCCATGCTGGTCGCAAACCCATTATGTTGGTTTTGTAGTAACGCAGCTCATATATAATATACAGAACAGAGTTGTATGAACTGTTTTGAATGCGTAGTTTCTTTTGCTTGTATGACATTGTGTTTATAGCAGAATGATGTATGAAGTACAATTGTATCACAGTATGTTAAAGAGGGTTCGAGTTAGAGGTGAAGTAGTTTTTAGTGGGAAAGTGAAAATAGAAAAAAAAAATTTCAGAGTACGAAAACAAAACATCCTTTTGTATTTAAATGCCAAGCAAGTCAACAGTTTTAGCCAAAATCATCTTTCCTGTTCTTATTTCTGTAAAGCCAGACAAAATATGTCTTCTTTTAGTGTACATATTGAAGAAATCTCATTTAAAAAAAAAACTTCACAGATTTGAAAATAATTTGGTACATGTATCTAGATGGATGTGGTTGGAAGAGAGAGGGGGGCGGTAGTTTAGGTTCTGAGCTGGGATAGGGCAGTTATTGATAGGTGTTTGAAGCAGCTTTTGCCTTTCCCAGGTACAAAGCCAGCAAAAATTGGACTAAAGTACATTGGGAAAAGTTCACCTAAATTTAACAAAGTTGTAAACATTTCCTTGCTTATCAATGAAATGATTTATTTCTTTAATTACTTTGTCAATTGTTTTTGGTTATTTTCAGTGATACAGATTTTTGTCTGAATTGTTTCATTGTTACAACTGTTTACTTAGTTTCAGTGTAATTTCTTGTAAAACTACAAAAAAAACACACAGTGTGATCACATGTAATTAATGGTTCTTGTTTTTTGCCCCCCTGAGATTGTAAGCCAGGTTTTTATGTATATTTATTTGATAAAAGAATGTTTGTTAATTGTTTGGCTCCTGGCTACTTATTATGATCTCATTACGGAAGTATTAGGTGTTGTTTTTAGCTCGACTTTTCTATGAAAAGGGGAGCTATCCTACTCGCCCCGGCGTCGGCGTTAGCGTCGGCGTTAGCGTCGGCGTTGGCGTCACACCTTGGTTAAGTTTTTCGTACCACCCCACTTTATTTCAGAAGTATTACAAGTATGGCTTTGAAACTTACCATACTTGTTCACCATCATAACCTCCATCTACAGACAAGAGTACATAACTCTGTCAAGGTTTTTGACAGAATTATGGCCCTTTTTTGACTTAGAAAGTGTATTGAGCTTGGTTAAGTTTTTTGTACCACCTCACTTTATTTCAAAACCATTGGAGGTATTGCTTTGAAACTGACCATACTTGTTTACCATCACGACCTTCATCAACAGACAAGAGGACATAACTCTGTCAAGGTTTTTGACAGAATTATGCCCCTTTTTGACTTAGAAAATACATTGAATATGGGTAAAATCCACTTATTGCCTTAACCCTTTGAGATATTGCTTTGAAACTTTTAATGCATTTCACATCATTACCCCCATCTGTACGCAAGAGAAGGTAACTCTGTCAAGGATTTGTTTTAAAAATTAAGGCCTTTTATCGACTTAGAATCTTGGTTAAGTTTTTAGTACCAGTCCACTTTTTGACTGAACTGTTTGAGATATTAATTTGAAAGTTGGAATACTTGTTTACAATCATGATTCCCAAACATGTCCAGGAGAAGGTAATTCTGTCAAAGATTTTATTTGAATTATGGCCCTTAACTGTCAATGTTTTGTATTATAGGCAAGCACTAAAAAACTTAAAAAATCTAAAAAAATTCATTCCTATCCACTTGTTCACTTTACCATAAATTATGTCATATAAACATTGCTGTAATATTCAAGGGTATCAAACAACTAGTTCACTTTAAAAATACAGAGATTCTTGTATTGCCTTTTACTGCAAAAACTTTTTTTATTGGCAAG